ATTAAATGTCCAAGTCTTGTTTGTTACAAATAAGTTAAGAAAAATGGACTCTTAAACACTGGGTGCTGTTAATCATTCTGACTTCAGTACAGTTCTGTCTCTCTTCTCCCACTGGCCCATAAATGTAGTATGTGCAAATTGTACTTTTTGGGGAGAGTGAGGAATAATTATGGATTGTTGGACACATTCCACACAGTTTCATTAGTTACTCTTGCCTCCCTCACTTATTCTTTCTCCCTGTTTTAAGCAGTAGATTTGGGAATGGTATGCTGTTTTATCAAAGGGTATACTGGTATCTGTATAAAAATAAATAAATAAATTGGGAAGAAGTATTTGTTCTGAAACATCAGTATTAAATAAAAATGGTTGAAGTAGATCAAGACTATAATGATGATTGGAAAGACTTCAGATCCACAAAAATGATCAAGGGTTATAAACAGATCTAAAGCTAAATCTCTGTGACATTAAGATTCAGTGAGTCCCAAGGATGTAAAAGTCAAGGGGAAAGCAGTTTTGTTATAAGGAATTTTGACTAAGAAATATGTTGAAATTGTTAGGAAGCCACCTCTGAGTCAGTCCAACAAATCTGTCAAACTGTAGAGTTGTCTTACAGGAGAAGTGATGTGTCATTACTTGCAAAATTGAATTCAGATGTCTCAAACTTTGATAAATATACGGTAGTAAACAGAATTCTGAACTAAATATTAAAACTAGAAAAAGTAAGAGACGTGAAATGTTCTGTCCTTCTTTTTTTTTTTATACAGATAATGTGAGAGCTGTGGGAGGGGGATAGAACTTAAAAGAAAGTTTCCATTTATGCTGATGTTGGGCATCATGAATATGAAGCCAAAGCTTGAACTATGCTGACTTATGGACATGAAGGACTGCACTAAAGTCTACTCCTGATGAGACCTAAGAATGATATTAGGAACAGAATGTTTGAAGTGGATTCTTGAGCTCGGTTTGAATTCTACCGATCTCTAACTCTTTAATACACGGCTAGGGCTAGTATAGAATGTTTTCTTTGCGCCTTTCAGGTACTGAGCCAGCTTTTTTTTTAGGTACATATTTATGTTGATACTGAACCTTAAAAATCCTCTAAACTCATGGGTTTGGGAATTAATATTGAGTGCGCACTCCATTCAGGATGAATTATCTTAGTTAATAAACATTCAGTAGCTTTTTTAACATCTAATTTATTTCTGTAATGCAATTTTCAGAGAGACTGACAAGGTTTACTTACTAAAATGTCTGTCAATACATGGTTGTTGCATTCCAGTTTTATTTTGAGTTTTTGCACTTTTCAAATTGGTCTCAAATTTGCGCACACTTTATTTCAAGTTATAATCAAAGTAGTTTTATCTTTTCTTTAATATGCATGTAATATACCTCTGCTGGTGGTCAGGAAATACTTGCCTCCACTGCCATAAACCTTTTCCATTTTCATACCAGATCATCACACTTGGAGGGGAACAGCTGCTGCATACCCCTGAGCAACAGCAGATCCCTCTCCCTGTTTTAAAACAGCTAAGGTTTGTCAGAACTTGAAGAGGAATGCTTTCACTTACAACAGTTCTTCAGAGAGAACTGATGTTTTCTTTGACTCTGCCTGCTTATAAACGCAAGGTTTTTTGCTTTGGCTTATAGTGGAGTTGTAACATTGCTGGCTCTAGAGTACAGCACTGCTTTCTGGTCAGTTCTTAGAATTGCATATTATAACTGACTTCTTAAAATTTTTAATCAGTGCGGTGTTATGGTTCTTTGCTTGATCAGATGGCAGTAATCAAAGTATATTTAGAAATCATAGAGGTCCCTAGCAAACAACAAGTAAAAACAGTGATCCCCTCTTTCTGTGTTGGACTGTCTTCTTGGAACTATTGCTTATGCTCAAAGCATAGGGTGGGTCCATCCTTATGCAGACTTGGTCAGAATTCCACACTTTATTAATTTCTCTCTTGCTTTTTAAAGCTTATTACACAAGACTGCTTTTAAAGAGCCATTACAGTCTATATTTCAGACTCATTCAATTCATAGTTTTTAACAGGAAAGTCCTTTTCAAACTTATTTGGTGTATGTCTAACTTCCTTTGTTTAGCAGAAGGATAACACATTGATAAGGTGCAGAGTAACAAGGCTAGCCGCTTTCATTTTTTTGGCTGTGCTAATACTTATTTTTCTTTTTAATACAACCATTGATAAACAGGGATCTGGGGAAAATGTGGATTTGCCCCTTGCCTGAGGAGAACATGGATTTTTCACTTTAATGGAAAAACATGCAGACATTGCGCTTTTGCAAAGAGCTCTCTACAAGCTGGCAGAATGTTAGCTTGCAAAGGGCTGCAGGGAGCAGGAGGGCAGTCAGGCAGGTGGGGCAGCCTGGAGAGCAGCTCCCAAGTAAATCTTGAGGAAGAAGCCCCCCTAGAGAGGGAGCAAGTGAGTTGGGCAGAGCTGGGGGGTTTGGGGTCCAGGGCTGGAATACATGGCTGCCAGGCCCTGATGGGGGAGCGTTAAAGCAGCTTGTCTTGAGGGCAAGGAGGACCAGGAGGACCCATGCCCCCCAGACCAGTGTGCAGGGTGGGCTGCCTGCTATGGGCTCAGGCTCTCTGCCCTGCTGCCCTTGCCTGGAGCCTCCACCGTCTGGCAGGTGAGACTTGGCACAGCAAGGCAGAGTGGGGCTGGGTGCGGATGCTCTGTGCTGCTGCAGGCTTTGTGCTGCACTGGTGATATGCCGTCCACTTACCCCACAGCAGTGGGGGCAGCAGTTGTACACCCCATTGCTGCGGGTTGGGCAGGGGATGCCTCACCTAGGCAGCATGGAGTTTGCCGCAGAAAGCTTCTCACCATCCAACCTTGCTTTGCCCTGCTGCACCTGGTTCTACCCACTGGGTCACTGAGGCCCTGGCAGAGGGCGTCAGGGTGGGGAACCAGAGTCTGCCCCTGCCCTTTGCACAGCTCAGGTCCCCCTGGCACCTGGGAGTGTGCATTGCAGCCATCTCCTCCTCCCCCCCCCCCGGGTTCACTCCTGCTGTGCCACCAATGGGCAAGTGGGAGCCAGGCTGTGCTACAGCAACTGCCACCATGGCTGGCACCTGGGCCTTGGACACTGCTGCATGGGGCTGCGGACCAGGGTTCTTGGCCCTGTAGCCCTGGCAGCTAGGGGCCCACTCTGGCAGGGTGGGGGGCCCAGGGGGCTGTAGGTGGGGTACAAGGGGCACCAGCAGGGCCCAGGGGGCGGTGGCTG